TGGCATATGACTTCACTTTAAATCCCAAAAGTGAATGACCCTTGCTTCCATGTGAAGGGTTTTACCAGTTCGAATTCTATAACGGATACTTGATAGGCTGTATACTCAAAATCGTTGGTATTCTATCCGGTTTTCGAGGAGATGTGACAGTTACTTTTTGGAATGTTGTTACCTTTTGCAGTCATGATCCGAGTTTCAAGGTGCCACGTCGGATAACATTAAATGTATCCCGCTTTAATTTCAAATCAATTTTGAGCAACCTATAAAAGGGGGTTCAAGAACACTATGTAGGGTTACGCAAACAAGAACTCTCACAAAACTTCCACGATTAAACCTTGATCCAAATTTCAACTTTCTTTTTCAAAACCCTAACAATGGCAGCCACTACTTCTAACACTGATGAGGTTCTTTCTCAATCACTATGAAGATTCAAAGCACCAATTACCAAGTTGATCCGAAAGTTTCTGCTTATCCAAAAGAATTGAAGATGCTTATTGTTGCTCTGAAACGATCACCTTTATCAACTGCCATGTTCAGTTCATTCTCGGTCCCAATGGTGTGGCTATCTCGTGCAGCTTCAACAGCATCTTACAATCACACGACGGATGTGATTACTTTCAACTTAACAAACAACAAACGAGTTAAACTGTCCAAGAACTTGTTTGTGGAAATTTTGCAGATTCCAAACAACCCTCCGTTTGTCAAACCTATCAACTCGCAGATCATTCATATGTTCAATGAGATGGGGCATCAACCGGAGTTGACAAAAATAAGTGATTTCCGAAAGTCTGGGTTGCCATGTATATGGAATTTCCTATTTGGTATTTTTCTAAGGTGTCTTACAGGAAGATCAGTCGGATTGGATAGAGGAAGAATGGAAGTATATGCTATGGTAATGGGCATATACTATGATATTAATGTTGATTATGCAACCTAGTTGTGGAAGGAATTTGTTAAAAGCCTGGAAAATACAAATTCGGAGAAGGGGATTTCTTGTGCAAGATACTGGAGCTTAATTCTGGAAAAAGTTTATGAGAAAGAAGAAATTCCAATGATGACAAATGTTGAAGTTGCTGAATTTTCCTTCTATCAATTTCCAAAAACTGTAGAAGATGATGAAGCAATATTTTCTCGTGTGGCTCGTATTCCAGATGCGATGCTTCGCAAAGTTTCTCCGACTCACAAAGTTTTGGTGAGATATTTGCGAACTATTAATACAGCTGATCAGACTGGAGTCTTACCAGATGTTGCTACTCCATCTAAGACAAAGAAGGTTAACAAGAAAAGTGTGAAGGGTTCATCCTCACCAACAGTACCAGATGAAGCTATTCCAACTAAAGAGACTTCATCAAAATCGAAGAAGGAACTCTTACCTTCTAAGTCTGGGGTACTGAAGCAAATTTGCAAAGCTGAAGTGAGTAGTAAAGGTGTTACTATTCACAATATTCCTATGCCAGTATCTCCAGGAAAGAAAAGACAGCGAGCTGAAGATGTTGCGAAAAATATGCAACGTACGATGGTCAAAAGAAGGAAGATGGTGATTCGCAATGAATCATCTGATGAAGAAATAGTTCCGGAAACTGCACCCGTCACATCTATGGTAACTGTTTCTTTACCCATAATTCACACTTCGCAAATTTCTACCACTATTCCACAAACCAAACCACTCGAAATAGTTCTCACCAAATCAGTTTCTGAGGAGGTACCTATTTCTGATACGGTTGTCAACGTATCTGATACGGGGGCACCTATCCTGAGTGTTGCACCATCAATCCAAACATCTTTACCCATTTCATTACCAGTTACAACTTTATCCACCACTTCATCCATCTTTGATCATGCCCTTCAAAACCCATTAACAACACTTTTTCCATCTCAATCACCCGAAAATCCTCAACCTTCGCAACAATTGTAAGGAGGTGACTTTGGTGGGATACTTGATGATATTCCTTTTGATTTAGATGAAGAAGATATTCCTGATCATATGCTAATGACAGGAAAACAATTTAAAATTCTGAATCAGAAGTTAAAGACCATTATTCAAACACAAGCTGATTCTGGTAGAATGTCTTCAATATCTGCCATGGAGGTTGATATTATGATCAAAGGAGCTGAGAAAAGGATCATGGAAAAGATTGCTAAATCAGATAAAAATAATGAGCTCAGAATTACATCACAAGGGAGTAATTTTACTTCTGTTGTTCAAGATCTTAGAGCAGCTACAAAAGAACGTCATATTCTTTTTGCACAAGATGTCAAGAAAGTTCGTGAGGATGTCAACTTCAAAATGCAGGAGTTGAAGTCTGACGTTGCGAAGGATCTTCAGGATGTTCATATGAAACAAGTAGAAGTTCAAAAGCAAATTATGGACATTTCTTCTCAACTTCAAAAGCTCAATGATATTCCTGTTCTTGAAGATCATAAAGCTGAAACAATGAAGAAGTTTGATCAGCTAATACAGTTAGTCACTGAGCTTAAAACAGCAGTTTCGCATTCTTCATCCACTCAAATCCTTACTCCTGAATTCTTGTCTCTAAAGATTAATACTTTAGAACAAGCTATTCAAAAAGATCTTGCCCCACTTACAAATTTCACTTCTTTACTACCGAAGAGTGCTCCGCCTGTTTCCACAGGGGTGCAAGGGGGAGAGGAAAGTCGAAGTAAAGAAGAGGATGCAAAAACAGTTGGAAAAGTGATATCAACTCAACTTGTAGCTACTCTTCCAATCCCTATGAAACCAATTTCTGCAACTACAATTACCACAAAAACAATTACCAAAGGTATTGTTATTGGAGTAAACGAAGGAGGTTCAAGCTCAAAACCTCAGAAAGATGTTGTAGGAAGAGGAAAAGGAATATTATATGAAAAATCAAAGGACGAGTTGAAAGCTGAGGCAGAGGCTGAAATGGAGAGGGTGAGACAAGTTCAAAGTATAATGAGACAAAGGGCAAGTGATCCTCCCTCCATGAACAAAGGAGATCCTGCAAAACTTTACTCTTATGAAACAATAGAGTCGAAAGTTGTGTGTAGGGAGATGTATGAGTTCGAGAAGAAGCCAAAAAGAATTTATGATATTGCGAACTCAGGTCATTGTCAATTGGATTTCCCGATAAATGAAATGTTGTTCATCAATGCTCAATACAAGATCAGTGAGAAATTTGATAATCCGAATGATTATACTCAAATGAAAATCAGATTTCATGCACTCTTGGGGAAGAATCCAGATGATGTTTGGTCCTTGATGAAAATCAAAAAGGTGGTGACAATAAAGAAGGATGTTTTGTTTGAAGAGATTCTTCAAAATTTTCGATATTTTGTTATCAGAGCAGACAACAAACAATATGACTTCACAGTTGCTGACTTTCCATTGATGAACTGCAATGATTTAATTCAAGTAGCACTAATCCTGTAGCATACGGAAGAAAATAATCTTAAAGGCTCTGATACAGATGTATTCAAGGTTGGCTTCGCACATGTGAAGACATTCATCGATAACTATTTTGATTGTTTAGCTCTCACAGATGAAGAATTAGCAAAGGTGCTGGGAAGGGAAGTAAAAGTTCCATGGGAGGAGACTTTGACTCAATCTGCTTTGTCAAAGTATGTTGTTGGTGAAATATGCCTGAAACCATTTGGCATGGTGTTTTCTGGAAGGGATACAAAAGGAAATCCGAAGAAGTTTTTGTTCAAAGTCTCAGAGATTGAAAGATATAATTCTTCGCAATATACTCACTTCATAGTACATATGAATAATTGCAAGAAGAATAACGAAGGAGACAAGAAAGATCTGAAGAAGGTGATCTCCTGGTATGGAGAAGTGCGAAGGACAATTCACTCTGCAATTCAAAAGCTTTTGAGTTGAATTGCATCGACTGTTTACAAAGGGGGAGAATGTTGATGTAAATTGTAAAAAGTCGAATAGAGTGTTTTGTGTTGTTTCGCATTTTATGTTATTTTACTAAGTCATTTTTTATGTGAAGTGAAAATGTATAGACTTAGTATATTTTTTGTTTGTTCCCTATAAATATGGACTTAGGCTAGAAGTAGAGGATACGAATGCTAGAACTCTCTTCTGCTTATTCTGTAATCAGTCTTAATCAATATGACATCTGATTAATATTTACTCTTTGTGTTCTTCATCTTTAATCGTTCAAATCTATCTTTTCTTTTCAAAATTCTCGATAACAATTCTCATCAAATCTATTTTTTTGACAACATGTGCGACGCATACGATTAACCTTATGCTTGAAGGTACATAGATTATTTTGTTTATTTATTGTATTTATTACTTTATTACTTTATTTTGTTTTAAAATGTTTAATTTTATACTATAATTTGTTAATTAATCGTGTTTGTTTCTTCAAGGTATCGGTGCACTCCCAAGGTTTAAGAAAATCCTAGATCAAGAAACGAAACTAACCATCTTCATTTACGCTCACCACAAAACCTTGGCAATGATGAGAAGTTATACCAACAAAAGAGAAATTATACGACCGAGAGTCAGGAGATTTGCTTCCGCCTTTCTAACTTTGCAAAGTTTGGCCGGAAAAAAAAGAGCAACTAAGACATATGTTCTCTAGCACCGAATGAGAGGAATGTAAATTTTCTGGTGCGCCTAAAGGAATTGCCTCATAAAACGGTGTCATATGTTTAATTTTGGTTTGGTGTCGCACAATGTTTAAAGGTGTTCTCCCCTTTGGTGAAAGTCCTTTGAATGGTTGACGCGTATTAGAAGCCCTCAATGGGTTTTGTTTACGGGGAGATTAAAGTTGCTTAAGAAGAAATTATCACATCATTGGGTGGTAATGAAAAAGCATACACTCCTACTATAAATATCATAAACAAAAAGATGAAAGGTCTTCTACATTCAAGTTTACATTTAACGTCTTACCTTTTAAATACATATTATCATTATAAGGATCCACGACTCCAATATGATCCCGATATAATGAATGCGATTCCTGATTTTTTTTGATACGTTACTTTGTGATGATTTTGAGATGCAAAGGCAAGTGGTAACAATTAACTTGCCAAAGTACAAGAAAAAAGTTGAAAGATTTGGTTGCGATTTTACAATTAAAAATTGTAGGGTGAATGATGCCGAGTTTGATCCAGGTAATTTGTTTTACTTTTAGTTATCTATTTTAGTATTTTATAAAATTTTGATATTAATCGATTAATAGTTTGTTTTCGTTTGAAAAAATGTAGCTAGTTGGTGGCACAACTACTCATTTGAAAAAGATTTCAATGAGGATTCTTTCTTTGACTAGTAGTTCATCGTGTTGTGAAACGAATTGTCGCACGTTTGAAGGGGTTAGTAATATAAAATATGAATTTTATATTTTATAAAATTTAAATATTAAGTACATTTCAACTCTTTGTTGTGTTTACATTTCTTGGTACATACAAAAGACCGAAATAGATTGGAGGCAAGCAAATTAAACAATCTTGTTTATGTTTAATTCAATACTGATTTAATGGAAAAAAAAACCAAAAAGCGAAAAGATAGAAATATGTAAGTGCTATTAGCAAATCATTCACTCTCGGCTCAAGAATGGATTGTTGATGTAGATGAAGTAGACCCCAAAACGGTTAATGAAGATCTAGGAATCGATGATAATCAAGCACCCCGAGAAAGTCCAAGAACAAGGGAACTTTCTGATGTAGATTTTGAGTCCGAGAGTGAGGAGCAAGTGTTAGAAGAAGACGAATATGAGTCGGATGGGGTTAAAATAATGGAAGTGTGTGAAGAAGATTAATAGATAATATGTTTTAATTTTGTGCTATTTAAACTTATTATGAACTTGTTGGATGATGATTTGGTGTGTTTGTTGAACTTATTATTAACCTTTTATGTTTATTTTGGTTGATAATTTATTGTGCTTAAAATTATTATTAAACTTTTATGCTTATGTGCTTACAATATTAGGATTAAATTTTGATTTATTATTTTTTTAATAATTTTCTTAATAATTAATGGTCCCCGATTAATCCCCTGATTAATCCACACCTAGCCGATTAATCCCTTAACCATAGTCCACGACTAAGCTACCGTCGAACGATTTTTGCAACCTTGGTTAAAATTAAGACGAAATTTGTAAGTGGTGAGTTGGAATCTATAAAAATGCTTTAAAGATCACATGCATTGCATGCATATGGAGCTTAATGGTGTACAAGGTTAAAAGACCTTCCTTGTATCTTGAAAACAAAACCAAACACCCGTTGGCAACCACCTCAAGGATCTGCTTTATAGAATCATATTCAATCAAATCTTGAGCAGTTGCAGTATGGATTGCCAATGCCTTCATGATATGTAATATATTGCCCTCCACCTTCAATAATAAAACTAACCATTAGCAAACCTATCAATTATTTCTTTTATCATGTTTAATCACCAATTCTACATGGGTTCCAGTTCAAGGTAGGGTAAAGACAAGTACATGAAAGGGTCAAATAAAAAAATAAAAATTACTGTTCTTTTACCTTTGCATACGCAGATTAATGGCCACCACCATAGATGATGGTGGGTTTTTTATCGACTCCAAGAAATGGATAACAGAAAAGCACGTAAAAGAAGGAAGACCGACAACAAGAAAAAAAAAGATGAATGAAACCAGAAAAAACTGGAAGAAAACAAACATGTAGCTGAGAAATCGAAGGTCTCCAGTGTAGCTGTGGGGTGCGACGATCTCCGGCCAGTGGTGGATTCACATAGTGGCAATGGCTAATAGCGGTGAGCAGAGAGGACTTGTCGCTTGAGGATCCAATGATCGAGATAAGAAAATGGAGGGTCTATGAAAGGTTTCGTTGTAAAATATATAGAAGAAACGAGACCCTACCCATTTAATTTCAATTTCATGGCCTGGTGTCTAAATACTCTTCAATTTTACTAAGAACCAAAACCCTAGTTCCATCAATAGTTGATTGAAGTTTGTTGTTCTCCAATTGAGGGTTTTTGCATATTTGACTGAGAGAAATAGATCGAGGGTAGAGAGTAGGTGGAGACATCGGTTGGAGACATGGTGGGAGATTGGAGATTTGGTCATGGTGTGATGTTGTTGTGGGAGAAAAGAGGAGTGACTAGGATATTAGTGATTTTTTTGTATTTGAGTGTGAGAGAGAAAAGCGATGGAAAGAAGGTAGAGGAGAACATGGCAGCTTTTCAAACTTTTAGGAATTCCATTTCCCCCAATTAGTTATTAGTTACTGAAGAGAAAGGCGCGTTTATTAAGAAATATATAAAACAACATGCTTACACAACACACATTTTATGATATGTGCTCTCTGTGTTTATTCTTACACTAATTTTAGGACATGCACAAATGTGTGTCCTCTATCCTTCATATTTTGGATAATTGACATTATTTTTACGACACACAAAAAATGGGTATCGTATATCAATGTGTGTCATTGTTTGTGTGTCATTAAAGGGTTCTCTTTCTACTAGTGGGTCCAACAACTACTCTCTTGTGTGCATCTTCTAGAGGTATAAGGCTCCAACATTGATGAATATTACATTAATATCTAGTTTAGCTTAAAGTTGGCACCTTTTGGTCTCAAATCCTAATCATTGTGAGTACGACATACTCCAGGACCTTTGATTTGTCCTTTCAGATGTTTTAGGGTGTGTTAAGTCATAAAAATGTGATCTTGGTCATTAGTTTCTTCCCATGCACAATCTAGGTTATCTTAATGGGTCAAAAATCTAGGGTTTTGACTTTTGATGTTAAGAACTTAATGGACATGAAAAACCATAAAGTTGGAACCCTTATGGTTAATAACATATTTTAGGGTCTAGATCTGAATTTTAAACGTAAGTCCATAAGGATTAAGCACTTAATGGTTTGAGTGGGTGACAGTCGCATACGTTGGGCGTACCAAAGGGTATGTTGCGCATACCTAGTCAGCCCTTTGTTGTTTTGGTCAAGTATGCAGTACGCCCTGCGTGCGTGTTAAGTATGCCCAACATACTCACCGATTTGACTTAGTTAACTCGGTTGAGATTATACCAGATTTTTACCAAACTTGACTTATGGTATATTGGGTATTTTGATCTGTATTTCAAGTTTTGATCACCGTATTCTTAAAGGTGACGGATAGTGTTGATTTTGGAGCAGTGTGTTGTTTCAGTTTCTCATCTATCTGTGAGGTGAGTTCCTCACTGTATCTATGGGTCGAAAGTACCAATACCGACCCATTATTTGGTTATGTAGAATGCTAGCTCCTATGTCGTATATTTATATGTCTGTGTGTGTATGTATGTGTGTGAGTCAATATATATATATATATATATATATATATATATATATATATATATATATATATATATATATATGGAGAGGATCAAATGATAACACCTAAAAGGTTGAGAACACGAGAATAGTTGAGGACCAATCATTTTATGAGGGCATAAATGGAATTTTACCATCTAATTAAATTATGATTTCCTAAATTTTAGTGATTACGGTGACAATTACCCAAAATATATCATTTTTTAGATTCTATTCTTTTAATGAACCAATAATTAATATTAATGTCTATCTAAGAAATTGTTTTTTTTTTTCAGTTCATTTTTCATATTTATGTTTCACTTTTAGCAATCAAATATCAAGAGAATGAATAATTTATCGGTTTACCTCATTTATTTTTTTAAACAAATATCTTCATAAATAATGATTTATACATTTCATTTTAAAATGAATAAAATTGTAAATTATAAATGAATTAATCCAGTTGTATTTATGAATACACTTGTAAAATCATAAATAAATAAAACCTAAAAAAGGAATATAAAATTAACTAAAATGGTACTAATATATAAATAAAACAAACACATTTCTATTCATATAAGAATATAATTATAAGTTACTATATATATATATATATATATATATATATATATATATATATATATATATATGTGTGTATATATATATATATATATATATATATATATATATATAGACACAGATACTAGCAATACAATTTCAATCATAAATGAATAAAACAAATTTGCGTTGCTTCCGAAAGAGCTATTGGTATCGGTGTTTCATTTGGTAAATCTCCCACCTTAAACTATATGCATGTTTATTCATTGTATCTGCAAAAATGTTAAAGAAACAATTATGTATAATTATATAGTCATTCATACATAAATACACTGATATTCACAAATTAATACATTGCTATTCATAAATAAATACAAAATAAAAATAGTGTAAAAATTATCATTTCTTCATAAAATGAATACCCCTAATCATAAATAAATACACTTATTTATCAAACAGGAATACCCTGCTATTCATAAATAAATATAGTCATTCATACATAAATTCACACGTAAATATACTGATATTCACAAATGAATATAAAAAAAAAATAGTTGTTGCCATTTTGTTTCAGCCCTCAATTCATCTCTTTTCTCATTCCTTTTTGTCAAGTCTTACCAAACCAAAAGTACCCTTTTAATGCTTAATTTGCTGGTGAAATCAAAGGTCTAGAACAACTACAAAAATTACCTTTCTATTCATCGTTAATTATTGAATTTCGAATAAATCAAGACCAAAGAAACCTCCATTGAACCCACGTTTTGCTGTTGAAATTGATGAACTGATTTCTGCTCCTTTTTCCCTTTCTTCTTCTTCGTTCCCTGCCAAGAATAACCACCATGATGGGGTTATGTTTCTGGTGAAATCAAAAGAGGCAGCAGCCCTTTGGCTTTTTCCCCTAACCTGCATTGTTGTGGCCGCTTGCCTTTCTCCTCTCGGACCAGCCTCATGTAGTATTCATTGATGATTAACTGCAAATGAGACATATGACATTGTATTCATATAAGATTACAACTGAATATTTATGGATATATTCACATATCCTGTACAAATAGATTCCATGTATAGATTCGAACATTATATAGCATTATAAGGCTTAAATCAAGAGAAGAGGTGGATTTCAAAAAAAAATTACAAGGAAAAAAACATAATGTTACCTGATTCAAAGTACTTCGTCGCTACCCTGCTGCTCTAGAGTGAAGGATCGAAGTCTGGTGGTGTATCGCTTATTGCTACTGCCGATGAGTAGCAGTCGAGTTCACCAGATTTCCAACAATGTTAAGAAAAGTGTCACCGGCTGTAAGTCTCACTCTGTATGCAATCGCATATGACGATGAAGAACGAAAGTCATCGCTAGTGTCTGCCACTGTTCGCTGCCTTGCGCTGGTGAGTAGATGTTGTCGTCCACTGGTGAGTAGAAGTCATCAAGCTGATGGGATCTTCAGTAATGAAAGCGATGATGCGTATTAAGGGGAAATGAGGAGTGAATGTCGGTTGTTCAGTCGATGCGTCTAATGAAACCCTAGAGAGAGATATAGAGAGGATATAGATACGAGAATTAGAAAGGTAAGAGGTGAGAGAGAGGTGAGAGGGTGAGAAATTATAGGAAATAGGTAAAGTTACAATTCATGTAATACCCTTCTGACCATTTAAAAAGTTACACTTAAATTCCAGTACTTTTAGAGTTTTCCGTAAATCGCCCGTTTTATATTAACCGTAAATCGACCAGATTTTGGGCCATTAGATTATAATTCTTAATGGCTAAGATTGTGATGGTCTAGCATAGTTACTATGTCATACATCACATATTAACAATGCTTTTATTAGGAAAATTTTGCATATAAGGGCATTATAGACATTTTTATTCATCACCAAGAAAGGAAGATGCTATTATTTAGGGAGTTACGATTCTATTTTTTTTTAAATCCATA